ATTACTTTATCGATGTTTAACTGTAATGACACTTGTGCAGTTCTGTTGTTTTCATGTTGATTAAGTAATGCGTATATATATTAAATTTTGTACACATTATGTCCATCTTGCAACTTAAATGAGTTTAACTTATCGAATATCAGGGCATGGACGAGTTGTGGCTACTTATACTCGTGTTTATAGACGGAACAACACAAGTGTTGTTTCATTATCAGTAATGACACTTGTATCGTTCTGTTGATTTCTACAACATTTTGCTTCTTTCCAAACGCAACGACCTCAAATATTAGATCCCCTAACTTAAGAAAATCAGAAAGGTTGATCATGTGGAAAAGAATGATTGAATTGACATAGATTATATGATAAAGAGTGGGTGAAATCGCAAGTCATTGTAATTATTCGTTAGAAAATATAATTAAATGAGCACATCTCTGAACTTTTGTAAACGACATGTCTATCTTACAACTGAAATGAGTTTAACTTATTGGTTCTCGGGGTATGAATAGGTCGTGGCTATTTATACTTGTGTTTATAGACATAACTATACAAGTGTCCTTGAATACTTCAGCCCAAAAGTGCATAATTATGGTTCCAAACAAAAAATGCAATTATTTTATGCCCATAATAATAGAAAATTGCAGAATCAATTGAAAATGATACAAAGTTACCTGGTTGTGATCTCTCACCCAATGCCTCCAATAATGCTTCTTCAACAATTACATTGTCTCCTTTTTTTTTTTTTCTTTTGCCTCTTGGATCAGCTACAATTGTGGCTTTTTATTGGCCAATGTGGTTGTCTTTTGGGGAGGAATTCAATTTGGGGATTTCTAATTTGGACAATTTTGTGTATTTCATTTGGGGATTTTGATTTTAAATTTTGAATCAAAAGCGCGTGTTTTTAATACAAATGGACAAATTAACAGTGCTAATGTGCTAAATCAGCTTTTCGTTAGTTGTTGTTAACGAATTTCAAAAGAGTTATGAACGAGTAAACATGTGAGTAAATGGATGATCAATGAGTAATCTTTATTTGTTGAGTGAGGAAGTAGCAACCTAGAGTATAATTTGATGATCACTGATTTAATTAACTTGAAGTTTAAACATTTATAAATAATTTATAAATTTTGTCAAACAAAGGCTTAGATTTGGCATACTAAATTTCTCTATTTTACTTTTGTTAACTAAAATATTTGAAGTTAGTTACTACGATGATGCTACTTCATCTTCTCATTGATGGTAACTCGATCAACAAACACTACAACAAAAACAACATTCTGCAACGTTCAAAAAACGTTGCCTTAGGCTTTTGCAACGTTCGGACATATGTTACAAACCTCAATATTGTCGTAGAGTAGAAGGATATGACAACATTTTTTCAACGTTGCCAATTATCTTTTGCAATGTTTTTTGAATGTTTCTAATAACCTTTTTCGCAAAGTTTTTTGAATATTTCTAATAACATTTTTGCAACGTGTTTTGGATGTTTCTAATAATCTTTTTGAAACGTTTTAAAACTGTTGTCGAAACTTGGGTACATCTTCTCGCAATATTCTGTAAATGTTGTTCTTGACATTTTTGCAACATTTTTTGAACGTTGCCTTTAACTTATTTGACTATGCAAAGTCCAATTAGGCAGGGATATTCATCTCTCCTAATTAAAATTACGAGGATGTAAAAATTTAAAAAAAAAACTTTCAAATTATGCTCAAACTGGTCTCTCTTTCTTTCTAATTCGGATACAC